CTAGCTGATTATATTCTGACGGAGCAAGAAGGTTTTTTTTCTGGTATAATTGATATATACAGACTACCACTAAGTAAGCCATGGCGCTGCTAGTTGGCTAGTCATCTAGAAAACTTACAGCTCCCGTATCTGTTCTTTAAACATTCAATCAGCTTGGTGTGCCCCGAAAGTTGGGAGGATAAACATACTTGACTACAGTATGGGCATCCAGCCGTAGACGTTTACCGTCTGGGTCGGTACGGATATAATCATTGCCATTGCTAGCAAGCTGGCCGTTGAAAGCGGGCAAGAAACCAGGCTCGCTCTTGACGGTGCCGCCGACCATGGGCTAGAGAGACAGACAGCTTCAGCTACGCAAACATTTTATCTGCAGCCAGGCCAAAGTTTGAGCAAGCCATGAGACGCACCGTGACTACGAAGTTGCAGTTCTTCGCTGTACTTCCTATTATTGGCGATGTTAGCACTCTATGCTAGCTTTAGCATCTATACCGACGGGCTTAAGCTTCTGATGCATACCGACGTTCACTGGAGGATCGATCAAGACCTATATAATCGTGGATGCATGCCGTGGTTAGATGTATCCGTGGCGCTGGGAAGGGCAGTTATAACTAGTTACCTGCATGGTGAATGCCGGCTTCAAGGTGGGAAAGTCTGCCATATTGGAAGAGCCGTGTGATGGTTATTTAGTTACCGTGAATGGAATACTTATATCTACCACTCTGCAGTTGATGTTGAAATTGAAGTTCGAGAGCTGGAGATAGAGATAGAACGATGTTTATATAAAAAATTGACAGCTAACTACCCCGCCATCATGCAGTGTATCCGTAGATGCTTGTCGATGCTCGACTTCAACTTCAGCGTCGGAGTTTCGACGGAATCAGCTCGTCTATCCCTGAGTATTGGCTATTCCGTTTCCTATATCTCTCTACTCTCTCGCGTTAGTAGCCCTAATTAGCAGGATTCGTGGTTTGTAGAGTAAACATTCCCAGAGTATACACCCTTGCGAACCGATAACTAGTTACCAGGGGCGCCTGACCACGATGGAGAGCCTCCAGTTTACTCCCGCGGCAACTTATTGACTGAAAAGTAGCCAAGTGACTCTAGATGAGCCGTTTTATAGACGATACATATCAACCGTAGCAGTGAAACTATTTAGAGACACCTTGAGTGCTGGGTCTGGGGTATTATGGCATGATACCCCCTCCCGATCTTCTTGTGATCAAGGTCGCATAGAGTAAGCCTTCTCTAAGCTTTCAGATAACTGAAGGTAGCTGTCTTGAGTGTCCCAGCTGATAAGGAGTAGGAGACTCTGCTTGTACTGCCACATCCATCATATGGCCCGGTAAGCGAGAGAAACCCGGCATTCATTTTAACGATGGTAGCCTCCATACGGAGTATCGCCTAAGCACTCAGGATGGTGTATCTACGCAGCGGTAGATACATTTTCTTGGTTGTTCCCAGGCTGTCGATGTCTCTAGTCCACTCCACTGCTGCAGAACGGACGACTTTTGTGGTCCTTTGACAGGAGCCGATCGAGCTTCCCGCTGCCTGTCAGTCGGTAAACACTGTATCCGTGGGCGGACATGGCCAGCTGTGAAGAGACTCGACAGCATCGAAACCGACCTTGAATGGCTGCTGATAGACAGAGAACTCTCCAGGTTGTATCACGAGTCTGGAGTAAGTTGATATTCAGCCGCTAACTAGTGCATCAAAAGCGTCATTTGACAAGAGAGTCCTCCGATGGATCACCTCTCTGCACATGCATATTATATTCTCGCTTTCAGAGGGTCCTTCTTCAGCCTGTTGTGGGTGTGCGGTTTCATGGTCTGCCCTGCGGGTTGATGGATTCTGCTCCGAGTGGTGATCGATCCAAAGGCCCCAGAAGCCCAAGAGGTCTTTGCCCCATGCAAGCATTAGTGATCTCGCGGCCCATCTGCTGTGACACCACCACCACTGCAAGACGGCCTCCGCGCGTCCCCATCCGCTATTATTTGCTGTCTCTCGATCGTTCCGTCATCCGTTGGCTCAGCCAGTGTCTTCTTCCCATCCCATCGAGCCAGTGAACTAGCAGGAAAGCCTCGTTGCTCTTCTTTGCTTTTTCCCCTGCACCTTCAGCCCTTTTTCAGGTCGTCCCAAAAGAGAGCCGTCTCTGCGATTTGCTGGAGAGACTGCCTGCGCACGCCCTTCACAACGCAGTTCTTATCAAGTATTACAATCACATCGTCCTCTGCATGAGAAGAAGAGAAGGCGAGCTGAATGAATCCAAAGAGAAAAATGTAAAAGTGTAAAAAGGGCTTCCTCCCCCCTGCTGTGATATTCTGCTTACCTAAGCCTTCACGTCACTCGCTGAAGATCCCTGCGAACCTTTTTCCTTAATTCCTAATTTTATTTATGTCGCGGAAGCCTGAGGGCGCCTGAAGAGCATTATTGTATCACACGCCCACTCTCGCATTCACGCACGGCACCGTCCGAGGAGTGTGTATATATATTACTAGGTCGCTCCCCCCGGCGGGACGTGGACGGTGCTGATGGCGAGAAGGACATTTTGTATTGATTCCGTCTGATCACTCACAGCCATGGCGCCATGTTTACTGCGCTTCCTGCTGCTGCTGCTGACGGCCGTGGGCGCGGATGCTGCGGCCTTGAACGTCCAGGACCAAGCTCAAGTTCCCCTGGTTACGGCCGTCGACGAAGCTGACAATGTCCAGGGAGAAGGTCACAGCGGCCTGCATGGCCGTTTCTTGCACATTACAGGTGCGTTTGAGCTGGTCCAACGGCTCTCCCGGTGTGTTCGCAGAGGTATAGATGCTGACATTGTGTGTATCCAGATATCCATGCAGACCTGTTCTACAAAGCCCACACAAAGATAAAAAACGACTGCCACCGTGGACATGGTATAGCTGGCTTCTTCGGCACGCCTGGTACGGACTGCGACGCCCCCGAGACGCTGCTGGATGCAACCTTCGACTGGATCGGAAACAACCTGCGAGACAAGGTTGACTTTGTGATCTGGACGGGCGACGCAGCGCGCCACGACAAAGACGAACGCAGGCCACGTTCTGAGAAGGAGATTGTGAGCACCAATCGGCTTGTGTTCGACAAGTTTGTGAAGACGTTCCACAAGCCCAAGGATGAACTCGGAAACACCCTCAAGGTCCCCATCATTCCAACCTTCGGAAACAACGACATCATGCCTCACAACATCATGGAGAGGGGTCCAAACAAGTGGACGAGGATCTTTAGCGAGCTGTGGGGTGCAGTCATCCCGGAGGAACAGAGACACTCGTTCGCCATTGGAGGGTGGTTCTATGTCGAGGCCATACCAGAGAAACTGGCTGTCATTAGCTTGAACACCATGTACTTCTACCGGGCCAACAGCGCCGTGGACGGGTGCAATTCAAAGTATGAGCCAGGGTTTGAACATATGGAGTGGCTCAGGACACACCTGCAACTGCTCCGGGACAGAGGAATGAAGGCAATTCTCATCGGGCATGTTCCGCCTGCTCAGAACAAGAAGAAGAAGAACTGGTCTGGTTCGTGCTGGCAGAAATACGCTATTTGGATGAAGCAATACCGTGACGTAGTCGTTGGAAGCTTCTACGGGCACATGAATCTTGACCATTTCATTCTGCAGGATTTCGATGATATCAAGTATATCATTGGTGATGAATCAGAATACGATACCAGCCATGAGAAGTCAGGGAAAGACGTCTCAATAACGGTGTCGATGGGCTATCTGCGAAAGCTGAAGAAGCTGTGGTCTAAACTACCACAGCCGCCTTGGGCCGAGCAGGACCAGGCGAACACTGCTGGGTACAAGAAAGAGCTAAAGAAGTACTACAATGAAGTAGGTGGTCCATGGGCAGAGCGATACTTTATGTCTATCGTCTCACCCAGTGTGATACCCAACTTTTTCCCTTCTATCCGCGTGGTGGAATACAACATCTCCGGCATAGAACACTCAAAGAAGTGGCCGCAGCCACCCTACCTAAGTCCCAATCAAGACAACACTCCTCTGCCATATCTCGATGAGGATGATCGTGACGATGATAATGATCAAGACAACACCTCGATAGACATATCGAAAAAGCACAAGAAGCGCAAGAAACACAAGAAGAAATACCCCAAATTTACTGTTCCCAATCCTCCATCCAGAACCTCTCCTCCAGGACCAGCCTATTCCAACCAACCACTCTCCCTACTCGGCTACCAACAATACTTTGCGAACCTGACGGAACTCAACCAGGCTCACGACGAGAAGTCTTTAGAGCTGAGTAACGTGGACGTAACCAAGAAAAGCACGGCCCCCAAGGACTTTTATCAGCTAGAATATGATACACGGACTGATCCATACTACCAGCTACCTGACATGACCATGAACAGCTACCTTGAACTCGCAAGACGGATAGCCCGCGAAGAGGAAGTGCCCGTGCACGACAATGAAAAATCTAGTGACGGGGACAGCCCATCCATACTCAAACGTACGGTATCTCTCTGGACGGTTTTCCGCCAACGGGCATTTATAGGGTTCTTCAATGCAAGGATGCCTTGATTGAAGATACTAATATATACATCCTCAGATTTGGAGTTACAGATCGACCCTTTTCTCGAGATATGGACATATATCCCTCACATAGAATGACTTTTTCCTTGACTTTACATATGCATAGCCTTTTGCTTTATTGGCCTTCTACTTATCTATTTCTATTAGTTTCTTTGATACACTCCTTCATGCTACCTGGCCAGGTGGCGCGATACCCCATTTCCCTTCCTTTATCTGTCCTTGGCTACTGGTATAGGGAGGCTTTAGCGTCAAGGTTTATTTTCTGTTCTAACTATATACATTGGGTCTTCTCAATATATTTAGATGTGATACACTGAATAATTGTTTATTACCAGTTATAGGAGGTAGTTCATGGGCATGTTCAATTCTATCATGATGATTGCATTATATAAATCAAGTAAGTAACTATCACCTAAAGATATTCGTTCGTTAGCTAATATATTAAAGTAAGTTTCTGAGCTTGCAATGGTAAGTGCTGTATATCATTTTGACAGATCGAGTTGTTGTTAACCAAAGCTCATGGATCTGTAACTAAGGCGAACTAGCTGATGACTAAGTCCCCTTGACTAAGATACCCACGGATACTAAGAGAGGATAACCTTATATGAGGCTCTTTGTGAGAATATGCGCCTCCTGTGTGCTCGATGATGTCCCACAGGGCCCGCAGGCCTCAGACAGGGGCTCTAATCATGAAACGGTGCTAACTACGCCCGAATAGGCAGTCCGGCAGCCCCTGAGCAAGCTGCTCGTAGCTAAACTCGATATAAGTTACTTGAGCCTCTGGTCTGGGGCGCTCTGCGGCCTGCCAATTGCTATCCCACTCACATTCTTCGCCCATTAGTTATGCATACCACCTGCAGCCAGGTCTAGACAGCAAACGTGTTCGGTATTTGCCATGAAGGAAGACAACGAGGCTTGCCTGCGGAACGACAGCTGCTTTATCTCCTGGCTAAGGTATTTGAGGAGCAACAACATAGAAGAGTCGGCATGCAAGCTTGCCTCTCAGCACGTTCGCCGTGAAGCAACCAGCGCCGAGGAATACTTAGCAGGCTCCTTCAACCGCTGTTATCGAGTCAAGTTCAAGGATGGGCCTGACGTGCTCGTCAGATTCCCTGCCCTGGGACGGTCGATGTTTCGACGTGAAAAGATAGTGGACGAAATCACGGTGATGGAGTATGTCGAAGGATATACGTCCATCCCCGTCCCTCGCGTCCTTGGGTATGGCGCAACCGAAGTAGGTCCGTATATGATTCTTGAATTTGTCGAAGGCAAGCTACTATCTGGGTATCTCAAGGCATCGGAAGACCCCAAGGTGCCATCGACCTTGAAATTGGACCTTGACCCTGCCATCTTACGCCGGGCCTATCGCACCATGGCGGAAATCGTACTGCAGCTCTCTACATGTCGCTTTCCAGAAATCGGCGGCATTTTCCGGGATCGCGCTGGGTACTACGAGGTGCGGAAACGGGCTCTGACTCTCAACATGAATGAACTGGTGGCGCTTGCAAACTTCCCTCCCAAACGACTATCGCAGCGCCGATATGCGGACACGACTTCATACCTGGTGTCTCTCGCAAATGACCATCTACATCACCTTGAAACACAGCGCAATGATGCGGTGGTGGACGAAGAGGACTGCCGGAAGAAATACATCGCCCGCTGTCTATTCCGTGAAGTTGCTCGCCGCTTCCGCTCCCCGCATGATCCCGACTCGTTTCCGCTGTTCTGTGAAGATCTACGTCCTTCCAACGTGATTGTTGATGACGAACTCCGAGTTCGCGCCGTTATAGACTGGGAATTCTGCTATGCTGCGCCGGCCGAGTTTACCTACTGCCCTCCCTGGTGGCTATTGTTGTGTCGCCCGGAAAACTGGGAAGCCGGTTTCGATGATTTCCTAGTTCACTACATGGCTAGGCTAGAGATTTTTCTAGAAGAGTTAAGGGAGTATGAAGTTGAGTTTGCTGAGGGTCATATACCCCCCGGGTCGTCCCGCCTCTCAGAGCACATGGCGCAGTCGATTGAGAATGGCAATCTCTGGATTTTCCTTGCAGCAACATACAGCTTTGGCTTTGATGATATCTACTGGAAATTCATACATCCAAAGTACTATGGCGACTTTGCGTCCACCGAGGATTTGTTGAAACTGCTGAATGAGGATGACCGGAAAAAGATGGATGACTTTGTCCAAGGAAAGATGCAACAGATGAAAGAAGGCGGCCTTGACTCTCATAGAACAATAGAAGAGATCACAGACGATTGAATTACTGTGTGTTGAGGCAACTGTAACCTGATAATCCAGGTTTTTTTTTTGTAATTGATAATTAAGAATACTTAATATAGGGCTTTTGAAAACGTATTTTCAGGCGCTCCCTTATAAAAAACTGATATAGATTTCATAATCAGGTGTAATAACTAACTATATGGTGATTCCCTAGAAGATCTCTGCTCTGTGGCGTTTTTAACTAGCAGAGCCATCCTTACTATTAACCCCTAAAAGTTGTCGTAAAGGTATTCCATAGCCCGCGCCTAATAGACTTATTTGTGAGCGGGATAGCGATTGCAGGCAGGCCACAGTGCGCCACCAGGCGCCGTTGGCTCTATCACACAGTACGGATACGACCAGTTTGCTCAGGGCCTGCCGGGACTAGTTATGTATTAGGGCATAGTTACTCTTATAGAGCCTATGGATACACGTCATGTACGCGCAGTATCACGGTGCTAGAGTACCTTATTTTTGCTCCTATATCTAAGTAGGTGGTCTAGGTCAACACTGCTATGTCATCCCGATTTTTCTTGCAAGATCCCTCTAATAACACAGTGTAGGAACAAACAAAAAGGCTGACTGGAAAGGGGGGAAAGGGTGGGACTTCAAGCAATTAATGCCGTCTTCGACTCCAAGACAGCAAGTTCCATGTCCATTCTCTCTTGTAGGGTAAGGTTTCTAAGCACTTCAGCCACTTCCATCCCGTTTGTTATTTGTCTTCGGAGTCGTCTTGCTTGGGCGGCGGTTGGGACTTGGCCAACGTTGAGTCCAACAGTGATGGTTTCTCTCCCTGACGGACAGTCAGAGTAGTAGTCGAGAAGAGATTTTTGTTTAGCTGTCGCGCACGGCTTCTGTAGGCTTTGCACTGTTATGGGACGATGCGGTTGAGTTGGGGTTGCCGCCCCACTCTAACTTCCGAGGTGTCATGTACTGATTCAGCACCTCGTCTGTAACGGCTTTTCTTCGCTCTTGGAACTCCATAACGTATTCCTGCAAAAGGGCGATAGCCATTTTCTTTAGCTCTCCCGTCAAAAGATCCCCTTTGCGGTAGTCTTGCTCTATCTTCTTAAGCTTTTCGTCGTCATCTTCGAAATAAGAAATGTCTGATATCATGTCAGATAAGAGTCACGCATTAATGGGTTGGAAGCGGGCACATACATTGGTAAGAAACGTCTACATCAGGGTTTCCACCAAGCTGACGGTGCAGCTCAACCGTTTCTTGGCCTCCACTGAAGGCATAAGAGTTGATTTTTTTCTTGGGAGGTGTCAGACAAACGGATAGGCAAACAGTTACAAGGAACGGAGTAATTGGTTAAACTTACCTTGATTTGGTTGGGGGTATCTGACATGAAAATGGCGGAGCTAGAGCAAATGTAAGTATGGGCAAGTAGCAAGAGTGGTCAAGTCAGTTAATTCTTACTTTGGATCACTGGCGCTCATCTTTCCACCGGCTCCTTGCAGTGCAG